TATAGTATAGTATAGTATAGTATAGTATAGTATAGTAGAGTAGAGTAGAGTAAAGTAGAATTGTAGAGTAGAGTAGAGTAGAAAGAAAAGTAGCAAATCACATAGGGTAAAAGTAAATGTTTTAACATATTTAGTTTTGTATATTTAGCTTATAAGTTATGTAAAGATTTATAAATAACCACATTATTAACTTGCAAACACTTATTGGTGTATTATTATGTCCAGTAAAGGTAAATTCGTGCAAAATATGTACACCAATGTGCTCAAATGCTTCACTAAAACATCACAATTAATTCTGTCATTGGACTTGGAATTTTGGTCTCGCTCATCGTTTAAAGTATTCTAAAAGATCCGTGCAATGTCGCACACTGGAAATGTAATCATGCATTGGGACATATCATATATAACTAATTTAGGTTCAATTAAGTGCATGGTAATGAAATGTTTGAATTTTTATATTTATATCTAGGTACGGCCGATACCTGGATGAAATGTTAAGAGCTTGCCGACTTGTCGTTGATACTGGGATGCATGCATTAAAGTGAGATTATAGCTTTTATATCAGTACGATTTATATGTGATTTCGCTTAATCGGGCTAACTTTTATATGACGTGTATGAATCTAATAAATTTATACATTTTTCGTGCAATATGTAAGCACGAACTAAATCGGTGTATATTCTTCTGATGGCTATATATTTGTATCAATCTATTCTATATTCGTAAAATAATTGTATAAAGCTTTTTAATGATATATTAATATCGTGACGGGCCGAATCAACTGGTTTCGAGGAAATAGCATTGCAAAAAATTCTCACTTCTAGTTGGACGAGACAAGACGCTATGGATTTTCTATTTGAAAACATGGGAGACGAATCTGAGAATTCAATAGATAGATATATAACTTGGCCGGGTCAGGTACGAACGTGAAAAAAATGCCTATAAACTTATTACAGATGATATAAAAATATGATGATATATAACAATATTTAAAAACTAAAACATTCAATTTTTAGATTATAAATCAACAAAACACCAAACGTGTGACATCTAATATAAATCATAAATGTGTATAAAACAAATTTGTTTCATTTACAGGCATTGGCTTACAAGATAGGTGAACTAAAGATTAACGATGTCAGAAAATACGCCGAAAGCGAATTAGGTAATTTTTTTAAATTACATGAAATTTTCGATATCTTTGCATAGAACGTAAATAAGCGTTGTGTGTGGGTGCGTGCATATATATATATATATATATATATATAGATATATAGATAGAGAGAGAGAGAGAGAGAGAGAGATATATAGATAGAGAGAGAGCTTATATATATATACAGCATGATAAACCAGAGGGTGCTCTCATTTTTATGCAGAGCGTTAGATTGCGTAGGCATTTACACGAAGTAAACTGAAATGCACTAATGTCGTTGTTTGTGTAAATGTCACCAGAGACAAACCGTGCGAAATATCATTAACGCCGTCGCCACTGTCTTTTTAGGTGCGAAATTTAATATCAAAGAGTTCCACGACATCTTTCTAACATTGGGGCCAGGCAATCTTGAACGATTTGAGAGTGCAATCAACGAATATGTCGAGCAGAACAAAGCGCGTAGTATTAGTTTATTGTAACCGTGATGGTGCATAACTATCCAGTACCTCCTCTGACTGAGAATACGATTAGAAATGTATTGTTCGAAAAGTACGTACGCGAGTAAGTAGCATTGTACTTTGTTTTCGTAAAATACAATTAAGCGTTTTCACTCCCACAGCATGTAGAGAAATGACGTCTGAGAGTTCTCATATGTTATGCGTACTAATTACGAATAGAATCGCATGATTTATATATGCAAATTGACTGTCGCGATGGTTACAATGTATGATAACTCCAGAATAGATGGTAAATATTGGAAAAATGGAATATTGCATATGTCATTATCCACTAACCTAGCAGTACCTCGTATAACAGAAAGCGCTAATATAAATAATTATGATACATTAAAATTATAATGTTGTTATGAAACACCGTGACTAGACGTTCTTTATATGTGCGGTCTTAGAGTCTATTTATATATTCGTTATTCTCAAATTATCCAGTCATGTACGCACTACCGCCAGCACCTACACACTTCTATTACCATGCCCGAATGTCCACGCTCGCGCAAACCCGCTCGGGGGTGTCTATATTCAAGCCGGTACGGGAGATTACGGTACGCATATATTTGCTCATATATTGACTAATCGTGCGTCAATAAACTCAATATTCACAGAGAGTATAGCTAAGACATGTGTCTATAGGTATCTAGAATATATTATGCAAATGATCTCCCGTGCCGGCTTGCATATAGACAACCCATACTCTCTGTGAATATTGAGTTTATTGGCGCACGATTAGTCAATATATTAGCAAATATATGCGCGCGAAAGTGAATTACGGATGATTAAATTTCTAAAATTCTAGATACCTATAGACACATGTCTTAGCTATACTCTCTGTAAATATTGAGTTTATTGACGCACGATTAGTCAATATATGAGCAAATATATGCGTACCGTAATCTCCCGTACCGGCTTGAATATATAGACACCCCCGAGCGGGTTTGCGCGAGCGTGGACATTCGGGCATGGTAATAGAAGTGTGTAGGTGCTGGCGGTAGTGCGTGCGCGCGCGTCCGTGCGTGCGTGCACGTGTTCGTATGTGTACGCGCGGAGCTGATAATATGCGCACATAATTCTCATAATTTTATATACAGTAATGTGATCATAATTCGAAAGTGCTAATTACGAACAATACAAATATGTGACAATTGAAATACATTATGTTAAAATCTTGAAATACGCGTACGTATCAGACATAGGCCTACATCACATCTTGTATTATATTTATATTCATTATAACGTGCAGGCAGAATAATTACTGGTGTGAACGGGATATGTGACAGACGACAGTCAGTATGGGCAGCAGATGTTCCGTAAGTCAGCAAAATGTAGAATAAGAATTAAGAATACCAAAATACTAATATAAAAATACTATTTACCATGCGATGGCATATTGCTCTAAAACGCTAAATGAAGGATGTGCTACACTTTAATTAACGGTCAAGTTTAAAAAAAAGGTTATCTATAGCAGCAATTTTAATTAAAAATTGGTAGCCTATTCTATATTTCCCGTGTCTTACAAGCAGGATATATAAGTAATAGAGTTTCGTTTATGTTCGAGTGTATGGGGATGTTCACGATGATTGGCAGCTGAAAGTCCAGCTGAAAGTCATCATCACTTAACCTATCATCATAGACTAAGAATAACAGTTATTCTTAGTCTATGATATTATCTACCACAAAGAGCTATATTATACATAGTATATATTAGTATATATAGTATATATTAGTATATATAGTATACTGGTATATATTATACATAGTATATATTATACATAGTATATATTATACATAGTATAATATAGCTCCTTGATCTATCAAACAGTCACGTCGAATTTCTCGTTGCCTCTACAGCTAACGAAAACCATAGGGCCAGTAGTGCATGCTACCATATACCTAATATAGCGAGAACACCACGCTCAGTGTTACTGGCAAACATTGATCGCGAAAAGGATCGATACAATCAATCATCAATATTGATATAAACCCGTAGCTTCCAATTACCAAATCTCACTGCCGGGTCTCTCCGTCGAGGTCGCAGGCCCGCATTCCTGTTCGCGTTACCCTATTTTATGTACACACAACTGCGTCATGCTCTACGTACATACGTACGTACACAGCAGCGCCCCCGCTACGCCGCTCGCAGTCTCGCACACATTGCCCATTCCCTCTGTTACTGTTTTCGTCAGTCGACGCACAGCATCGGAGCAGCGTAGGTTATATCTTATTAGAGATCCCCGGATTCACTATTCTCAACGATGGCGGTGAGTTTTGATGCAAGTGACAGCTAATCAAATTCGCGACGACAGTTTTAAGATAGCGGCTCGGTCCGATCCGGTTGGATCCACTGCTATTCGTCTGCTAAACAGATAGATCCACCGCATAGACGGTATTGGCAGGTTGCGCGTAACGGTGGGCGGTGTACGTGTTCAGTCTGCACACATTGTTCAGTACTTGTGACGTCGGGTTTGATTAGAGCATACATAACTACATTTTAATTGCAAGCAATACATAATATGGCATGTAATTAGTATTGGCCTATGTTTACATCTCATTGCTGCCGTAGAACACATTGTATGAACTGGACCTCTTGAGAACAGCGATCGTACTGAACTAACTCTCAGTATTGACTTGCTATTAATTATCAGAATTAAATAGTACGCGCGGGACATAAAAGCAAGCTGGCAAACAATGATATAGGTCATCTGCCATATTAACTGAGGCGTTTAATGGCGCTGCGGTGTCCATTGCTAAAGCCTGCGCGAATGAAGGCGGCCATGTCCGGTCACTGCGGAGAAATGATGATTTCAAGGTCGCCGTGTGCGGATCGAGTGGATGGATGGATATACATAGCACACTGCTCGTAGCCTACACGCGGCGGGTAGACGAGACAGAGGTTATAAATACTCGCTTAGCCTTAGTACATAAGGATGGACGCGCCCATATCCTACATCCTTAAGAGCTTGTCTGGCGGCGTTGCGACTCTCACGCGAAATAGAAACACGAACGATGGTTATTACACGCCTCGCGTTTTAAATCGCGTTATTGTTGGCAGACGCGCATGCGGGTGAGATTGGACAACAGCGTAAGCCAACCCGCGCTCAGGAATGAGGGTTAGAGAACAGATTTCTAGTCAACGAACTCAAAAATGTCACGTATCGTTTAGAGAAGAGATTCGTCGTGCAAAAACGTATGCAGCACGAAGTACTCTACATTGATTCTTTATGACGCCAAGAAATATATGCACGTAGTGGTAGTTAGTGAAAAAAAAGATGAGTAGGGAGGCACCTTATAAGCACACATGGCAGTGATAGTGGCATGGTAAATACAAATGGAAGTGACAATTAAGTGCCAGTAAACGCGACAGTGACAAACTAAGTGCAACTGGCAGTGACAAGTGTCAGTGACAGTGACAGTTATTAAGAGCAGCGAAAACAATAAGTACACACGTAATGTGTAATGTGTAATACACTAGCCCGACTTGAACAAAAGCTGAATTTGATCTAGTTTCACGAAACATTAACAAAATAAGATGTATAGTTCTATCATACACGGATTAGATTTAAAATCAAATCGCGTGCCTCTAAGACTGTGTCTCGCGTGACAATAGAATATGGTGCTTCAACTTTAAAAATGTGCCAAATCAGGCTACAACAGATCGTAACCCATTCCCCCACGCAGCCCTCTGCTCCGTTGTTTAAATGTCATGATTATTTTTGGGTACAAACGATTTGCATCGAATTTCGCTCTCCTCATTCGCGCGGCTGCTACATCTTCTAGTCTGCCCTTCATGCCTGCGTACGCTGCATGCTTGTGTCGATGTAGAAATCATTTCCTGGTTTACCTACTGTAGATGTGCGAAGGCTATATAGTTGCATTGCTACCATACAACACGAAATGACTATGTTAGGGTCCGTTGCCTTCAGTTTGCTAGCGAAAACTATGTAATTAAGCCAAGTAATTTCAGTTGCCATTAACCATATCCACAAAAACTAAAGTACGAGCGCGCTTTTATATATATATGTCTACATCATGCAAAACCCTTTGGTTTATCGAAACGCGGTTAACGTAGTTAGTATATAACATAAGTTAGGGTAGCGGTCCTGTTTAGGGTTCATTAGGATTGCCATGGTTAGAGTAACGGTTACAGTGTTGATAAGCTTAAAACAAATATAATGATTGCTATTTTTCTGCCTTGATCTATTTTTAAGTGCGAGATCAATACGCGTATATACGTAACCGTGGGGGTTTGAACAGTGGAAAATGTTAATTGAAGTATGCCGCACTGTTATCATGCTTTAGATATAGCCTATTTCACTTCCGCGCTTCTATAAATACACTGTAGAGCGGGCATCATATATCAAAAGATAAACTATATGAGGTTGATATTTCATCAATAAAACCCTTTTATCGGCATACCCTAACTGTATGAGGTTGGGGGTCGCGAGAAGTGCAAATAACCTGATCTCGTACTATTGCAAGTAGTGTAGGCAGGGGTGGTAGCGGCGGGGCGGGGACCTTTAACAAAACCGCTCAAGCACCCCCTTTCGCGGGAGTTAAACGGGTTTGTTTTTGAACCCCTACGTTGACTATATCGATCTGTAGAGACTTTATTAGCGCATTATTGTGCCCTGCCGAGGACCGTCGTACTTCCCGCCAATGAAGAGTAAACTGCTAGTGCTTGCAGCTTCCAGTGTTCCTACATCCCTTGCCCTGCCAGTGAGCGTGTACACTGTACACGGACCACACGCATAACAACGTCGTCAGCTGGCTTTGTGTGCTCGCGGCGGAATTGTTTGGGGAGAGGGTTCGGAGGTTCTGCACGTATGGCCTGGGAAGGGGTTACGAGGATTCACACAGTGCCTGGGGTTGTGTGTGTGTGTTGGTGAGGGTGGGGTGGGGTGAAGGTTCGAGCTTCTTTACAGTATACCGCATAGTACCGTTTTCGCTTTTCGGTGTTTCATTTTGCAATATCACAAATAACGCGTGTCGCAATAAATAATGGATAATTATCTATTCCCTTTATTCAACATTACCTGCACAAAGCCATATTTACGATTCCCTTTGCCGCACTTGCAAAAATGTTTCCCCGCCTTAAGTGTGGGCCTTTGATCCCAATTATGTGAAGCCTGGTCAAACGTACTACGATGTGATGCATCCACAGTTAAACGATAGTGTGAAGCCGCAGCCCACGTAGACTGTCTGTGCTTATACCAACATTACTGCCGGCAGGGAATGAATGAAGGGGGTGGATTTGCGCAGGAAACCGTAATGATGACAGATGGAGATTCACAGTGGGGTTAACATAGCAAAATGCTTCGCGTTACACTCAATTTCTTAGCGTGTAGATAAAACGAGTTTACCCCTCACCGCGTTGACGCCGGACAGTGATCCAGTTGTACGCCTGACAAATCGATCGGCATATATTTATTCATGCTCGTGACACCAGATCTATGTCGAGAGCAATTAATTTTATGCGTGCAGAGCTAACTAGGTCTACACATTGTACTGACGCATGCGCACCTCATGCACGCGATGTCACTGACTCGATATTCGTAGTCGTCTGCTAACATCACGCGCATACAGCAGCGTAACGATGGTAACGACCAATCACAGCAGGTCGGCAGCGAGTTTATATCGTATATGCGCTACACCCATGTATTTATGCAGCGCCAGCAAATCAAATATTCGTCGCAGTAGGCTTGCTCACGCGTGGTCGGTACACTGCGGCTGAGCACCGTGCGTTTATTATATACGTTATACGTTATATTATATACGTTATATCAGGAGTCTATCAATAGACTCCTGGTTATATGCTTGGGCTGTCTTGAGAGTCGACTGCGTGCATTCGGGTTTTGGCCCCGAGGCTGTCGGGGACCCGATGGGGTTTCCGACGTCGTGTGTCAACCAGGCTTACGCAAACATATAGCAACAACGATACACATTCTGTAGCGAATGTAAGCGACATGTGTATAAATTCATCGTAGGCCTATGCGTTGGAACAGCTTGGTCACAGTTTAGTCTATATTTATGTATGTATAATGTATTTTAATATAATGCTAATTTTGTTGATTTGCAGGCACCACAGCCAGCTCCACAGGGTAAGTATTATCAGGAGATAATGAAGACAAATATTTGTCTTCATTAACTCCTGGTATTATATATCTTCACATCTGCGCTAAAGTCACGTAGCGCACTAAAATTCAAGGCACTGTAAATTTTATTTGCTTTGAAGACAAATATGATTTGAGAGATACATATCTTCAAGAGCATATAAAGAAGACCTTCTTTGTATGCTCTTGATATCTTGATAGATATATGCATTCTGAAAAGTACAGGTAGGTGATTGTGTTATTATATAGCTCTGCTGTTGATTCCTGCTACAGATAATTAATGCACTAGGCTGATATAACCACCAATATTGTTTGCTATATATGTATCGGCAAAAATTAAGGTTTCTAATTTTCAGTGACCAGACTCGGATTTCCGGTGTAGACCAGTAATAGACAATCTTGATTGGTTTCTGCCGAATTAGTATAAACGTACATCTACACATGTAACAATTAAATCTATAACACGAACGAAAATATTACAAATCTAGTTTCCACGATTTAATGATTCAGTTTGGTTACGGGAAATTAGAAATCTTTAGCGATTATTCTTATGACGTAGTCGACTAACCCGAGCATGTGCTTAAGTTAATTGCCTTGCATGTTGCATGCGTAGAAGGGTATCCACTAGCAGCAGGTGGGCCATCGCCAGATGCTGGAAGTAAGACCATATTAAACCCACAAACTACACCAGCCGATATCATCACCAACCGTCGGGCTGGATCAACACACCAAAGTAGCACTGGTGAGACATTACTTGGTGGTTTATGGTTTAAGTAGGCTCCTATTTAGCTGAGCACAGAGAAAGATACTGTGATGTATACTAGTCATTATCAATATGGTTATCTACGAACATTATGTGAGCATACTGTCTCGTTTGTTTATGTGTAATGATGTGGAGATATATATAGTGAGAGAAATTATATATAAAACAATCATTTTGTTAATGGCATTCCGCAGAGCTGCCAGCTATGAAGAAATCTGACTCACAGCCCACTGAACCTTTGCCAGTGGAAGGACTAGTGAACATGCCAACAGTGACTCCCAAACACGCAGCAACAACAGACCCAAATCTCGTCAACATTCCATATTCAGAGATGCTAGACAAGTTAGGAGAAAAGAGAGTTGAGGAACCGATGTTAGCTCCAAAGCAGGAAAAATCAGTAAGCGTTCAGCTCGCCCCAAACAGCAGAAAACCAGACGTTTCATCAGAAAAAGGCAAACCGTTATAATACCACCAAAACATATCTCCTGAACCGCAACCAACAAACGCCAAATCTTGTCAACATTCCATATTCAGAGATGCTAGATAATGGGAAAAAGAGTTGAGGAAGCCGGATGTTGGCTCCAAAGCAGGAAAAATCAGTAGCGTCAGCCCAACAGCAACAAACCAGCACGTTTCATCACAAAGGAAACGTATAATACCACCAAAAAATATCTCGCTGAACACGCAACAACAAACAGACGCCAAATCTTGTCAACATTCCATATCAGAGAGGCTAGACAATTTGGGAAAAAAGAAAGGAGAACGGGATGTGCTCAAAGCAGGAAAAATCAGTAGCGTCAGCCCCAACAGCAACAAAACCAACAAAACCAGACGTTTCATCAGAAAGAAAACCAATAATACGACCAACAATATCTCCTGAACACGCCACAACAACAGACCCAAATCTCGTTACCTTCCATACAGATATTCTAGACAAGTTAGGAGAAAAGAAAGTTGAGGAACCGATGTTAGCTCCAAAGCAGGAAAAATCAGTAGCGTCAGCCCCAACAGCAACAAAACCAACAAAACCAGACTTCATACAAAAGGAACGTATAATAGCCACCAAAAATATCTCCTGAACCACGCAACAACAACAGACCCAAATCTTGTCAACATCCATATTCAGAGATGCTAGACAAGAGAGAAAAAAGTGGGAAACCGATGTTAGCTCCAAAACAGGAAAAATCAGTAGCGTCAGCCCCAACAGCAACAAAACCAGACGTTTCATCAGAAAGGAAACGTATAATACCACCAAAAATATCTCCTGAACACGCAACAACAACAGACCCAAATCTTGTCAACATTCCATATTCAGAGATGCTAGACAAGTTGGGAGAAAAGAAATTCGAGGAACCGATGTTAGCTCCAAAACAGGAAAAATCAGTAGCCGTCAGCCCAACAGCACAAAACCAGACGTTTCATCAGAAAGGAAACCTATAATAGCACCAACAATATATCCCGAACACGCAACAACAACAGACCCAAATCTTGTCAACATTCCATATTCAGAGATGCTAGATAAGTTAGGAGAAAAGAGAGTTGAGGAAACCGATGTTAGCTCAAAACAGGAAAAAATCAGTACGTCAGCCCCCAACAGCAACAAAACCAGACGTTCATCAGAAAGAAAACCAATAATACACCAAAATATCTCCTGAACCCGCAACAACAACAGACCCAAATCTTGTCAACATTCCATATTCAGAGATGCTAGATAAGTTAGGAGAAAAGAGAGTTGAGGAACCGATGTTAGCTTCAAAACAGGAAAAATCAGTAGCGTCAGCCCCAACAGCAACAAAACCAGACGTTTCATCAGGAAACGTATAATACCGACCAAAAATACTCCTGAATCCCGCCACACAACAAACAGACCCAAATCTCGTCAACATTCCATATTCAGAGATACTAAGACAAGTAGAGGAGAAAAGAAGTCGAGGAAACCGATGTTAGCTGCCAAAGCAGGAAAAATCAGTAGCGTCAGCCCCAACAGCAACAAAACCAGACGTTTCATCAGAAAGGAAACCTATAATAGCACCAACAATATATCCCGAACACGCAACACAACAACAGACCAAATCTTGTCAACATTCCATATTCAGAGATGCTAGACAAGTTAGGAGAAAAGAGAGTTGAGGAACCGATGTTAGCTCCAAAGCAGGAAAAATCAGTAGCGTCAGCCCCAACAGCAACAAAACCAGAGCTGTTTCAATCAGAAAGAAAAACGCGTATAATACCACCAAAAATATCTCCTGAACCCGCAACAACAACAGACCCAAATCTTGTCAACATTCCATATTCAGAGATACTAGACAAGTTAGGAGAAAAGAAAGTCGAGGAACCGATGTTAGCTCCAAAGCAGGAAAAATCAGTAGCGTCAGCCCCAACAGCAACAAAACCAGACGTTTCATCAGAAAGGAAACGTATAATAAGCCCAACCAATATCTCCTGAACACGCAACAACACAGACCCAACTCTTCAACATTCCATATTCAGAGATGCTAGACAAGTTGGGAGAAAAGAGAGTTGAGGAACCGATGTTAGCTCCAAAGCAGGAAAAATCAGTAGCATCAGCCCCAACAGCAACAAAACCATCAGAGACTTCCACACATGCGACAACAACAGACCCAAATCTTGTTAACATTATATATTCAGAGAAACTCGATAAGTTAGGAGATAAGAAAGCTAATGAAGCTATGGTAGCTCCAACGCAGGACAAATCGGTGTCCTCTGCTCCATTAGCAACAAAACCAACAGACGTAACATCAGAACGACCGCCAATAATTGTGCCAACAATATCTCCCAAACGCGCAACGACAACGGATCCAAATTTGGTCAACATTCCATATTCGGCAAAACTCGACATGTTAGGAGAAAGCAGCGTCGGAGAACCGCACTTGCATGCTGACGCCAACAAGGCTGCGGTCACTGCGGCAAGCGGCAGTCAGCTGGAGCCAACCGAGCACGTCATAGACTTGAGTGAATCACGGCAGGTGCATTCCACGGCGAACGTCACCGCTCGGAAACCGATCGTTGAGCCGCTCATCATCCCAAAATACATCGCACCTCTCGGCGATGAAGATGAAAGTGACGAAGGACTGCATTCGGACGAGCCGAGCATTGACGACGAGCTCAGTTCTGAAGAATCCGAATCGGAGGAAGATGGCGCCGCCGCTGCTGATGCGGCTCCTCTGGGATGGTGGGCTTGGTTAGTTCGGCTACTGTGGCCATTCTAGATGGATGGCACAGCTTTTTTATCTGTGGGTAAGAAGCTAGTTGGGGGGATTCACGAACTATTGAGAGGTACTAAGAAGCTTCGAGGCAACATCATGTACTACACTGTGTAAAGCATTATGTAATGGTAGAAGCGCTAATGTTTTATTATAGTCTTATTACGACTGGTTTAGTTTATCGTTGGTAATGTTGCCATGATTACGCAAGGAGAATAATAATTATGTAAAGGTTACATTATCAAGTAAATACTTAGTATGTAACGGTAGGAAAATATCTATCATGCAAATGTACATCATTGTAAATCATTGTAAAAAAAATATTCTTTATATAAAAAAGCTTTCCTATTTCTAATCGCATTTATAATTAAAAACGCACATATATTGTGTTGTACACGTTTTAATTATATCAGGTACCGGGTTGTCGTAGTAGCAGTAAGGTAGTGGCAAATATGTAGTTGGTAATTATATTCATATTGAATTTTATTAAGACCTACATCACGAGTCATCGCTGGAATAGAAGAAACTCCGCGAATTTTGAAAACATGTATTACTATTATATTGATTATGTATAAACTGTGTACTATAATGTATATTACATCTTTATAGTTATAAATTATAAAGAACCCCGTTTCTTACGTTTCGATTATCTTTGTTTGCTTTGTTCGCGATAATTACACTTGGTTGGAAATAAAGATTAGGGGCCTACATTCTCTAATTCTCGGTCAACATGCATATTAACATGCATATTAATATGTAACATAACAACATTGTCGTCTGAATTACATATTTACTCTTGCTGCAAAGTCCTGACAGCTATATGATATGAAGAAATTCTGAGGTTCAAAGTAGGTATTTGTGCTAGTTCGAATTAGTTAGAATGGAAATGTTACACGCCTACACATACTACACACGTACCACCTCTTAACGGCTTTTCTTTTATATTCACTCGACTTTTACACACTTCTGCACACACGGTTATAGTATAGTACTTCTGCTCAGCGGTAGGTAGTACATGTTACCACTTGTTCTCTGCATGGGTTTATCTCAATGTTATACCATCCGTATGTACATGTAGTATGTTACACACAAAGACGAGGTCCGTTTGGCATGACTCGCGAATAAACCGGTAGGTAAAATTTGTGTTCTTGTGCCTATACACGCATGCTCAATTCCTCTATTAATGACTTGTGATGGTAACGACAATATAATTAGATAGATAACGACAAACGGTCTGTACCGAAGCATGATACAAATGAGAACAGTGAGTTACGTTTAACCAACGGTCCATAATAGATTTTTTTTTATTATGGACTCTTGGTTTAATGTTACTTGCACTCGAATGTCGCACGTCAATTTCGGTAACACAGATTTACCTATATTTATCTCGCAATTGTTGGGCTTTTCCCACCGGTACTCGGTCATTTCTGTAAACGTACGAAATTTTAAATACGGTCACATGACTTCCTACGTTTTTCGTGAAATTAATCCAATTTCAACATCCAGGCATGAACGCACGGAGATAACGCGAATAAATCGTGAATGCTCGGCAAGGGTTATGATAAAATAAGGTAAATCAAGATCTTCCCGACTCTCGCTGCGGCATACGCTATGCATGCCATGCTCTTCGAGGGCCACCTCAGGGATTTAGGGTCTGATGGTAATTAACCTGTCTATCTCTTCACCGTCTTCAATGCATTTTACGGAAATCCTTTAATGTTTTCGAACTACACCTGACATTGTCTAATTAACGCACAAAAACACCTTTCAATTTTGATGCGCTGTTTGGTTGCAGAATAACCATGCGACAAGCAACTTTTGTGGGTCAGTCGGTCCGTTAATCGATCCCTGTACGTGACACCCTTATGCAGGTTTTTCACAGAAATTACATAAGCTAGGCCGCGTAGCTAACCCATTTCCTCTTGGGGGTGGGGGCAAGATGGGTGGGGGCGGATTGTGTTCTAGATGGGCAGGTCGCCGTGGGCGATTCGCCACATATACACTCCGCTTGGGTGTAAACTGCTTCTTGCCCCAACCCTGCTAGCTACTGCCTGACTAGACAGACGTATTAAATGTTGAAATTTACATAGGCGTAGCTACACACACAGACACAGATATTGACATAGACATGTGCATAGATATATGCATATGAATATAAATAGACGTAGACAGTGGCATAGACATCCGGCTAGAGCTTTGCATGACCCTATTAATTCGCCTCAAATAATCTCTTGATGAGTACTTACGCGGTGAGCTGTGCTCTGATCTGGTATACCTATTCTTATTCTCATCCTTATCTTTACTGTTGGGAAGCCTCCAAGGAATGATAGCAACACGTATTATTGTCAGTTGACCGAGAATAAATACAACGAAATCAGGAAACGAACCAGGAAACGAAACAAAACCACAAAATGAAAAGTTCACGGAATAAACGTAACTGAAATAGGTGTAGAAAATGACAATTTCATCAATTGTCATACAGATGGTCAATAATAATTACGCTCGCCGAAATTCATAGTTGGGTAGAAGGCGGAAAACGTTTACAATTACCACGCTCCCTATTCCTAAACTGGTAGAAGAATAACCGTGATTGCGCACTTTTAAAGAAAAAGCCTGTAAGCTAGGCGGGGATGGCCGTACCAAGCTGCCCACTGTGTGTGTCCACGGGGCGTGACTCCATCAGTCCTGTATGGTTTAAAACTATCCATAGTGGCCATACTTAACCACTGCACCCGCGTGTACATAGAGAGTGAACGTGCATGCATCGCCTCGAATCTGCGAGCTCCTAATGGCAGAATCAGTAACCGGTAAGTAATTTAAATAATTTATTTACGGTTACGCGATATTAGCGGAGCACTATGTAGTTATACAATATGGTGTAGCCTACGCGCACCAAGTGTAACGATTAGCCTTCATCGTATGTATAGGACTACCTCAGTGCATATTATTGCTGCTGTGCAGTGAAAATACTGCGTTAGTCTGTACGGTGAGACGAGGAGGGAGGTGGTTATTTATATAATATATACACACAGCACTGTGTGTATCATCGTCGCCGCATCATTGCTTACAGAGATTGAAAGGAAGAACATCGACGTGTCGCCACTCACGAAAGCGAACGTGTCCGTCATCTTCGTTGTAGGTAAGCTAGCTCATAATAAAATACACGAGCATGAGGGCCAAATACTCTACCTACCCTCTAGGATACCTACGCGACGGGATCCGAGGCGTCATTTGTTATCTGAGCAGCGCGCGCACATGAAATTACCGAGAGGAATTCACAGTATATACAGTGAAATACGTGCGTTGAGCTATTAACCGCGAATGCTTCTTGCAGATTTCGCAGTAGTAAAGTAACAATATAATTAATCGTGAATAGAACGATTTGCACAGTTTGGCAGAATACCAGATAGCGGTTAAAATCGAAATCAAATGAAAGCCCGCGCACGGGGGCCAACCGTCTACAATACCACACTTTGCGTTGTGCGTATCATTGATAGCTTTTCGTTTGCAAAAATTATACACACTAGATAGTAGATAGACATCGTCTATCGTCGATATAGTACATCATTTTCGAGGTTCTGTTTAACAGGAGGGCCCGGCTCCGGTAAGGGCACGCAGTGCGAGCGCATCGTTAACAAGTATGGCTTCACTCATCTATCCTCGGGAGACCTGCTGAGAGCCGAGGTGCAGTCCGGCTCGTCACGTGGCAAACAGCTAACGTCCATCATGGAGCGCGGAGAACTCGTGCCGCTGGTACGTCTGCGCATGTCTCTATTATAAGCCAATGTCTCTATATATTAAGCCAATCACTGCGTTTTCTCACGCGTGTGTGCAATACAGTGTAATATTATTTTATTATTATATATTAATATTGTATTATTATTTTATTATTATATATATATATTATATATATTTTGAAATTCCCTATTACTTTAAAAATTACTTGCATAAATTGAATTTGATGTTATTATCAGAAAGCACAGTGTCCTTTACGGGCTATCGTCCGTAGTTGTATTATTGTACATGGTCTGATATGGTGGCTAGAGTCCCGGATGGTGCTGTAACTGCCTTCTAGTAAGGGGCCTACTACAGTCTTCGCTGCTACTGCTTAAGCTGTGTTGGCTTGGAGGCCATAATACCAGAAAGCTTAAGGTTTTTTGGTTAACAACGCTGTCCTTACTTTTACCGCACAAAACCCGGGGCATATAGCTGGAACTTAAGTTGTACTACAGTGGATCAGATCTCACCCATACCTAGTTCCTCCTTTGTGACGTTCCACCTACGAACGGTATGTAGCCGGCTAAACGACAGGCCACTCCCTGCCTAATGATACCCAGATTACGTAACGTTGGAGGCACTGTATCTATAGGCAAGGTTAAGCGACAGCAGCGACAAAATAACACACTTTACTACGACCTGCAATCGTGATCAATTCTATATTTATAAGGGAATACCCATAGACATAGATACGTTCTATTCTATTTTATACTCACTCCAGCGCGAGTAACTTTATACTTAACCCGGTAGTAAATACTAAGTACTTAGCCCAAAGCTATCATTATACAATGCTTAGTTACTAGCAGCGAAGTTCTGAAATACGATCGCAACTTCCGGACGCGTGCCTGAGTTGTTCGGCGAAAGTCCACTCCAAAATCCATTCAAAATTCGCATACATCGCTGCAAAGCGTCATCTCATGCGTTCGTTAAGTCACGGATTCATTTTTGATGACAGCAGGTCGTACCGTTGACCTGGCTGAAAGGGAGGGCGAATTGTGAGAAGGCCAAGGCTGGCACAAAGGGCTTCCCTATCATCGATAGTTACCTCCAGGGAGGTGTTCAGGAGTGAAATTCGAAAAGGTCAGAGTACGTTGCAAACATAGTGACCAGCCACCCACCGCACAAGCCCATTCGCATGTTTTTACCCATTGGTTTTATCCCCACAGAAGTAAAATCAAATTCAAACGCGTGCGAGCATCATGTGATGTGCGCGTACGTATGCGTGCGTGTGATCTGCGTGGCGTTACGAAATCGTAAGCCCCCGACATCCATTCCTCCAACGGCTTTTCCCCCGATCATTCCGCTATATACTTCACTCATCGAAATAATGACGAAATGCGACGATATCCCCAAAAATAATCCCGTGCCTGTCGCGATCGGCAAGTGCATAACATCGTAAATTAATTAGCGACTATGCATCTGGCGCGCGTTCCCAGATCTGCCCCGTGCACGGTCGTGCTCTAACTACGAGTGACGGAGGCAGATCATGAAGGCAGCGCTGAGGCACGCGGCGAGACGAGCGGACGCGTCGACGAACAACGAGGAGACGATCAATGCAAGCGCCTGAAGACCTCAACACCTCCACCGTGCCCGTGATGACGCAACTACGGACGCAAAGGCACACACCGTGCAGTATCGGTGTTGGACTAGCTGCATCCACCCCCCCCCCATTTTCTCGTACAGCGATTCGCACAAAGTTAAACGCCATAGAACAGATATTTACACCAAAATAGCATCGTAACCCACTGTTCGAACGCTGTTATCGGAAAAACCGTCACAGACTGACACTCCCGAACGTGCGTGAACTCGCTGTCCCATAATTTTATCGTCGCAGCGATTCGCACAAGTATATCGTAATAAGCAGTAACTAATAGTAGTAAGAGTAAGTAATAATAAATAAAGTAAATAAAAAAATAAATATGAATATAAAAAATAAAAATAAAAGTAAATAATAATAAGAGTAAGTAATGCGACAGAGTAGCTACTACTAACTAGACTATCAGTAAACGCTGTCGCCGATCGGTACCGACTTCATTACTCGTCGTTGAAGCTGGCGTTGATGGCACCACTCCGAATATCTCTGTCATCATTAACCATCGACCTAATTAGATTACGACTAACCGCAGCATGGGCTGCCACAGTAGGTAGTGCTGTTAGATTCGTTCATCGAAATCCTCCTGCGTGAAACGCATCAGTAGGCGCCGCAGAATTTCGGATTGTTGTACATAGGTGCCAACGCTACCGCTACATCCGAGCTAATAATAAATAATAAATCATAAAATAATAATAATAATAACATAATTAATAAATCCTATAGGTACATCCGAGCTAATAATAAGAATTCCGCACGAACCTTGTTGAGATTTGTAATAACACGACTGTAGGTTCGTAGCGTGGTGTTATAAACAGGTTGTGTTCATTCTTTATCAGGTGTCGGCAGGCGGAACCATTGAAGAGGTGTTCGCAAAGACCTGCGACGTACTCGGAAAATGCCTATAAATGCACTCATCGCTCGCATCTCTAGCAGTTGGCATTTTTTTACGATGTAGGATACTTCACGCATGGACCACGCCTCGATGACAGAACATTGCTCGGCGATCGCACGAGAGAAAAAACGTTATACCTTAAACATGGAAACATTGTCAAAACCAGATACATTAATCGATACTTGGGAGCATAATCTTAGAATATCGATTCGTAATGCTGGAGCCGTCTCATGTGCGTTTGATACCAAACCTTGCAACGTACACAGACGCGGGGAAAGACAATGCACCTACGCAAAATACATGATCTTACACCCTACCCCCGCGTGCGCGCAACAGTCACACCCCCTGCAACCATTTCACCTGAAGGCAGCTCTATGAAACCGTCCGTCGATCTCTCTTTGCACTTTTCAATCTAGTCACGTTAGTTACAAATGTCATGGTAATCCAACTCACTTATGAATACTCGAGGCTGACGTCACAATCTCGTTGTTTCTTTAAATGGGTCTTTCTGTAACGACTATAGTACAACCTTCATGAAATAAAGTAGAAGTATTATTCTTGCAAGCTGTAGTACTTACCGTATTTGTATTGCTGTCTATAGTAATGGCCGCATATAACTGCGAGAGACAAACGCATAGCTACAACATTAGTGAATAAAACGGGAATGACAATCTTTGAGACCTAATCCGTGCCCTAAGAAACACATTTTTGTTTTACGCACGTTCATTACAAAAATGGCAGGAGTAGAACATGCAAATCGCTACTTCTAGTTATATATGTTGCAGCGTTAAAGAAGTGGTGGTGGGAGAAATTTGAACGAGAGAGCGAGAGTGTAGAGCAGAGCGCGAGGGAGAAGATAAAGAGAGATAGACCGAGGACAGAGAGAGAGAGAGCGCGCGAGAGAGAGCGAAAAAGAGAGCGCGCGCAAGAGAGAGAGAGAGAGAGGGAGAGAGAGAGAGAGAGAGAGAGAGAGAGAGAAAGAGAACACTAAGGAGGAGGTTCACTAGAGCTGTATGAGGCGATGCATCTCACATTGCTCACTCACATGAGGAGCAACGAATAGAATACATACACGAATTAATCTATGTACACACTCGTAACTATTCCGCCTTGAATACAGCCACATTTTATTTATAGTTGAGCGAAACACACTGTATATATTACGTTTTATTCGAATGCATTTAGATTTACATAGTTCCGCGTGCATAACTGCCTCGTCACCCACACCCACGCATAGAATACGCGCGCAATAAATATTGATTCAGACCATGCAATATAACAGTTCCGTCATTAAAGACCAGTTGCAACGACGTGATGTTTTCAGTACAGAGCCAAAAATAGAGAAATCCGTATGAAATCATGATATCAAACCAGGCAAACTTTTAAATATTATAACCTGTTTAGACGGCCCGTCAATTAGATATTATTCTTTACATCTACTGCCTTGCCGCAGCATTTTTACTTGTGTTCGGTGCCACGAGGCTGGCCTATTCCACCATTTATCTTTTTACTCTCTACCCTTTCTCTCAGACGAACAAAAATGCTAGCGGTTACCGCACGTGTTCTAAATCACCACATGTAACATATGGAACGATGTGGCTGCAGAATTAATGAGTAGTTGTACGAATTTACCAATACAATGTATACGACCAAAGATGTAACTAATTAGTCAGTAATGTTGTTAGACATATGCATTCCTGCATTCGTGTAAAATTATAAAATAGCTCTCTGATTAATAAGGGCATAGCCTGGAAAAAAGCACATTTACCAATGAATTATCATTATTGATGATTAATTACCGGATGAGATAGCAAACCGGAAATATCATCATGAATGTGCTTTGGGCATGTCTATTAATTACGCCTCTCCGCTTATCCACAGATAATATGCACATTCTCTTGTTGCGTGACATTTTTGGCAATACTCACTAGTGTGCAACGGAATATAAATGAACAAACTATGAGACATAACCAGAAACGTGACAAGTGTAGGAAAACATTGTACTCAACTATGTTCAACCTCCTTGCAAAGGGTGGAGTCGTACTAATCATGAACCCGTTATCCATGAAACAAAAACCTACACAAGTAGCATGTCGCAAATGACTTTCGACTTTTTTAAGGCGACTACTGGCTGGAAACACAAGGACCTGTCCGTTTACATCACGTGCCGTCTAGAGAGTGCAGGAATCTTAACAGCAATAAAATCCATAGTACCCAATATATATATATTCAGTATGTCAATAAGTGATTGAGAACTGAAAATCAATAACAAACAATTATACATTTTAAAATATTTTTTATGATAATTAATAAATTAGTGGTGCATAACACGTCAAATAAAGCCAAAAAATAGCGACTACCCGCTTGATTAAACGCCGTTGCATTGTAGTAATGACATAATGAATTGGATAGATTAACAAAGTAATGAAGCTCTAAGATTGCAACCAGTAGCAATTGACACAATAGGCACCATAGTTACACCACACTGCATTTAAAAACCAATAATCAACTGTCACCCCCTGGCACGCTTGTGCAAATGCAATCTTCTCTACCTAGCCAGTTAGATACGGTTTCTAGTTCTAACATCTTCATTTGCTTGTAAACAAACTGTAAGTGCTATAACGTTATTTCTATTAAGATCACATACTTGAGCATCGTTGTTACAGATACTAACAGAGACATTACTTGTGCGCCAGGCAGGTCTCAATTTCATTCAGATTTGAGATGCATTCATACAATAAAAACCACCAGCCTATATGCTATATATATAGCCGATTTCTTTCAATGCAATAACCTGCCTGAAATACCATTTATAGGTTAGCATTGAAAAATAATCTAACCCAAGAAACTGAAGTATAACTATATCAGCTACTTCACCATAAAAAAATAAACATCATAACGCCTGTCGAACGCGGTATCGGAAAAAAACGTGACAGGCCGGACACCCCCCGAAATTTCAATTTTCCCACAAGGAACACATTCGCTATGCAACACCTAAGCCCAAAACTCAGAATGCTTGAAGAACCTGTTGAACAGCAAATCTCACCTCCCGTCACCATGTGCAAAACAGTACAGCTACTGCTAAGATGGCGTCAAGCGCGGCTTCAATCGGGGATGCTGCTGATTATGACGCTGCTGCGGTGACTGCGTCGGTCGCCGAGGCGTGGTCGCAACTGGCGACATGCCGATCTCTGGCTTTGGTCCAAACCAGGACGTCTTCCACTCCAGTGTCTCCCTAACACATTTCTCTTCATCCAAGGAGAGGTGCAGCACAGTGGAGACAGCCTTCATCAGCTGCAACGCCTGTAGGTGGGAATCGAAACGAGTCGTAATGTACACACGTAATGCAGTCAATATTTCACTTTGCACACTGCAGCATCTCTCATGGTTAATTATTCCCTGTTCCATTTACTGGTCCAACTCTGCCATAACACACAGTGCATACAGACGCACGGCACATGAAATTCCATTGTAGACAGCTTCAAACAAAACACATGCACGCACATGCACGCGCGCGCAAGCACGCATACACGTCCACATTCACTATCCAAGCACACTGAATGTTTAGATGACAGTATGCCTGGACCTGCCCTGCCCGCATAACTTGGATGCAATCTCACCTCATTCTCTCTGCTTAAGATGAACCTCATCACAACGTGTTTCAAATACTGGAAGTTGATGTCATCCTCAGAGAGTGCAGTGGGCGAAGAGTCCGAAGCAGCGGACATCTTACGCTGGGCCGATGGCGAGGGTGTAGCATTGCCTGGTCTGAGAGAGTTGCCCGACACAGCCTGTAGGGGGCCAACCTCCTGCATGTCGTTCAGCTGATCATGACAAGTGACAGTTTTATTTTTACGACGACGTATTCTCAGTCAAGCCATATACTCGCTAATCTTTTTACTCCCCAATTTTTACGGAAAATTCAACTATTGGACTCAATAATATTACAAACAAACAAATAAATATAATAAATACTCTTGAACTCAGTAAATACACGAGAATCGCAAATTACATGTTGCCACCTAAACGATATACATCCAAATATAATCAGAACAACAGTCTTTAGTACCACAATATAATTAGGTTTAAAAGTACCTCATCCCTTGGTAAGGATTGAACTTTCAGTTCTTTCTGGAGAGTCTTTTTCAGATCGTTCAATCTCTGCTGTTGCATCTTGATCGTCTATGAAACATCAAAAGACCACATACGTTCTGCGCATTTAAACATTTTAACATTAAAAATGTTTTTTCTAGAGATTTCATGAAAACTCTCGATTATGTTTCTCAGCTTTTTTGACGGACGAGCAACTAAGCTTGTGGATGAAAAGCAAATCACTGAGCACCCACTTGCTACACTAATCACTCAGCAATCTTTAACATACCCCCACCCCAAGTGAAAAGACTCCTTACTTTCACCTTTTCTCTATTTCTTAATAGCTGCTTGGGCTTCGAACCAACGATGACGTTCCAGCGTAAACACTCTCACTCGTCGCCCCACGTTTCATACACTTAGGTGTGTGGCGGCGGCATCACAGCGAAGCTCACAGACAGAGGAACAACGTACCTTGTTCTTATCCGTCAGCTGCTCCTCCAGTGCGAGGATGGACTTGCGCAGATCCTGTACGAGCACTTCTGCCTCGCTGTCGTCCCGTTCATTCGCCTGTGCGCAACCCGGCACATTCACCAGAGAGAATCAAAAAAGAGTAATCATGATATATATCTCCGTATTATATCTGCATTCACACGAATTCGTTTATTTTAGGAATTATATCTGCTTTGCCACATTTCTAATACCTGTGCGATGATATAACTACATTCAACCATCCACCACTTCCCACTCACTAATCCATATTAAGCTGGGTTTACACTACCGACTTTATGTTGTCAAATTGGCGAGTTGGACCGATTTTGCAATTCGGCAACACCAGGTTGGCGAAAATAGTACATGTTCTAATCTCCCAACGAGTTGCTATTGACCAGTTGCTCGTGCGACGTTTGTGTTTACACTGCCGATTGTCGGTTGGATAGTTGCGAAATTGGTCCAATTCGCCAATTTGACAACATAAAGTCGGTAGTGTAAACCCAGCTTTATATGAGAACGGTGCGGAAGTGGATGCTTATCCTGGACTGTTTAGTCATTATCACCACTTGAGTGATTGGCTCCAGCGCTTGATATATATATATATATATATATATCACATATTGATAGACGGTGACAGACAAACGCCGACAATACTGGCCGTATAAAACACTGCCTGCGACTCGACATCAATTCACCTACCTCGCCACTTTGCACTGCCAGCTGGTGGATCAGACCCTGTAACTGAGTCTCCAGTGTCGCCACCTGCTGGCAGCGTTCGCGCAGCTGGCTCTGAAGCTCATCACGCTCCGCATTGCCGCTGCGCTCTGTCGCTTTCACCGACTGCGACAGTTCCGCGTTGCGTACTAACAGCTTGTCCTTCTCTGTGTCAAAGTAGTTTTAGAGATCATTCAGTTCAGTTATCAGTAAAAAATTTAATGCATAATGACATGTTATCTGGTCCCTTTGCCCATATTACTTCAGCTCAATGATTCTCAGTTCTTAAACTTAAATTCGAATACTATTAAGCTTATTCAGCTGTACTTTCTCACGTCATGCTAACGTAAAAGAAAGTTGGGATAACATGCTTGTCATGACTCATGGCAATACTTGGTTAGCCACTTGAATAAATCAGTGAAATGACGACTGATATTGATGCAGTGACAGACTGCAAGATTCTCAAACATCTAAAACTAACACTATTGATGATCTAAGAGTCATGTAAACTATAGGCATGATTTTATCTATATCTAGGTTATATCTAGGTTATATCTAACAATAGCCACACTAATGCTAAGTGTGACTAGAAATCCACTCATACCAGCATTGGTTCGCTTCAGGTCGTCCTTGATACTGTGCTGCTTCTTCTGCAAATTTTCTAGCTCTACTAATGTTTTCTTTGCCTCTGACTCTGACTGAACCAACTGTAAAAATAACCACAAATCCACTAAATATGTCAGTTATCACAGGTTGGAAACAATTGGCAAATGCATAGCAGACTATTTATCATCTTACTAGACCAAACTCACACCAAGTAAATCACCGAGAATGAAGAGTTTGAAGAATTTCATTAGTTACTAACCTTCTCCCAAACTTCTTTTCCTTCTACTTTATTACTTCCCAGCAATGAATTCAATTGTAAGCACTCGTTCTGCTTAAGATTCAACTCAATCTGCAATGAATAGACATACAGGTGAGGTAAATATGATGAAACGTAAAATGAGATAGGGTTACGGAGAAAAGAGAGACAGAAAGAGAGCGAGCGAGAGGGGGGGGGGTGAAGGTCAGTCAAGAAAGATTGTTTGTTTCAGGCACAAGAACCAATTTATTAATTTCGATTAATTTTGCACCCTGCACATTATATTTTTCTCACTGGACTTATAACACAGAATAACACGTTTAAAAACACCCACATCTCGAAATTCCACAGAACAGGAAAAAGGCCCTTATGCCTGTAGCTTGCCAGACTGCAGCTGTGATGATTTCCATCACATGAGGTGATCACATAAGAAATCAAAAAGTCACTGTGCAGCACGTCACCACACAGGCCTTACTTTGAGAGTTTCCATCGACTCTTCAACATCCTCTTGCTGCTGTCTGCATTCCACAAATGCCTCTTCTTGCTCCTTACTCCTAGCTTCCATTCCTGCCTGCAAAATGGCATGAAAGTAACCACATTAGACCACAGGCTAAAAGCGTTTTATGTCTGTGATGGGTTAATGTCCACAAGAAAGTCATGGAAGTATAACAAAACAAAGAAATACTAAAGATTCTTCTGTACTTTCTACTGTAAAAGTACATAAAAGATTCACAGTTGGCTCATTAGAAATAACTCCCAGTAATGATGAGTCAGTAGCAATAGCTCATTATATACGGTATATTAATACCAGTAGGGCAGCCGATTCCGTGCTGTGCTGCTGTTTGATAGATTCCAGCTGCTGCTTAAGTGCCTCCACCTGGTGTTCCAGTGTCTGTTGAACTTGCACCTTCTCCTCATTAAGCTGACTAACAGCGGTCTCCTGTAACGATGGCTGTACACATGCAGTCATTGTTCTCAAACATACATGACAAAGCTTAAAACAAATAGTGTATATCAACATGTACTGACATATCCGACAGATGCAAAGACAATTATCCGATGAGCAGGCACAGCACAAAGCACAGATTGATGGGGTGCAGCATAGGCTGGCAATCCGTTCCTCACATAAATCGATGCGTAAATTACACTTAAAATAAACACAACTAAGTCGTCAACTCACTGCAGTATTCATTGCTATCGCCTGCTCTTGTAGTTTGGCTTCCAGAGCTTCCTGGTGACGAGTGTCCTCTGCTAGCTGCTGTTTCAGCTTCTCATTGGCTTCACTGCTTACTTTGTAGTCGTTGCGAAGCTGATCAAATTCGGACTCCTAGCAAATGACAAAAAGCAGTGGTGAGTGGCAGCAGGTCACTCACGTCGACTGGGAACGAAGACGTAAGTCATTGTAACATATAATTTCTTAAATGCAATCACATGGATACGAGATTGAGAACCGTGCATTACCGGTTCACTGCGGTTCTAAGTACGAGCATTTAATTCTATACATCGAAACCTTGTACGTTGTAGAAGGTACACTCGTGTCACTGTAATGAATGTCTTATACGTGCTTACCCATTATAATACTACCACAGATGTTCTTCAGAATAGTACTTCTCACTCCCCCTTCCCCAGCACACCCTCCCATTCTTTTTCTCTCAGTACCTGTAATTGTGCGTTATTCATTACCTACCACACCCCTATATCCACCTAATAACAACCTACGATTCGTTTCACTTGTTGCGACCGCTCCTGCACTGTCTTCCACAGTTCCTGTGACTTGTTTCTGCTCTCTTCCAGCTGTTTCTGTAGTTTCTCTACCTTCTGCTGCACTCTCCGCTCAACTTCCTTTGTGTTCTCCTCTTCCTGCTGTGAACTGCACACCTGTTAGGACAGTAGAAGTGATTTGTACAATTTCGACACTGAAGTCAGCATGAGAATAAGCTGAAATAGCTACATACACTATAATTCCACACAATTATCTGTTGCAGTAAAATTGGATGACCAAATAGCATGGTTAGATTACAGCAAAGTTGAAAAATATGGCTAATAAAATTTTAGCAAGTCTCCCACAACATTCTATGATGGATCTATTGACACACATGAAACGTTTTATGAGTATTAGCAAAATATAGGCCTTCACAGTATCCTTATCCCAGACTTTCACTTGACAAACATCCCCATCTACCTATCGAATGGCTTCCACAAACCCTATTATGTAATATGAGATAACCCAATACTTATATTATGGGTGTTATTATTATTATTATGGATGTTTTGTATATCTATTTTACCACCATTTTAATCAAAGCAAGTGTTGAATTACAGCACCTTTGCCTGGTTTCTACCCCCTAACCCAGCTACTACACATGCAGGGACAGGCTCATACCAGTTGGTCCATTTCCTTCGCTTTTTCCTGGAGCTGTTCATGCATACTACTAATGTTCTGCTGTTGTTCGGTGACCCGCACCTGCAACTCTTGCAGCTTCTGCTTGTGCTCCCCTTGCAGATGTTCTACCTGCTGTGCATGCTCCCCACGTATCAGTTCAACACTCGTCTGGTGTTCTCTCTGTATCTGATCCATCTGCTGCTGCAACTCTCCGTCAGCTTTCGACGAGTCGTCGTCACGAGCTCTCTTTTGTTTCTGGATCTGTTGTTCGTGTTCGCTCTGCAGCTGCTGGATCCGCTTCTCAGTCTCGGCACGCACCTGCTCAACTTGCTGCTTCTGCTTCTCTTGCAGTTTAGGAATCTGCTGCTGGTGTTCCTTCTGCTGTTTCATAAGCTGCTTGCACTCCCGCGTCAGCTGTTTAATCTGTTGGTCATGCTCATTCTTCAGCTGCTTCATCTGCTGGCCACTCTTCTCTGTTAGTTGTCGGATCGCCTGCTTATGCGCTTCATTCACCTGTTCGTTAACCTGGTCGTGCTCTTCCTTTACCTGTTCAAGCACCTGCTCATGCACTTGCCCCACCTGTTTAATCGCATGGTCGTGCTCCTCCTTCAACTGTTCCATCACCTGCTCATGCACTTGCCTCACCTGTTTAATCGCATAATCGTGCTCCTCCTTCAACTGTTCTATCACCTGATCATGCACTTCCTTCACCTGTTTAATCGCGTGGTCATGCTCCTGCTTCCGCTGCTCACCCTCCTGGTCGTGCTGTTCCTTTACCTGTGTAATCTCATGAGAATGCTCCTCATTAAGCTGTTTACTCTGCTGGTTAATGGCATCCTTCAGCTGTTTCACTTCGTGTTCGTGCTCCCCACGCAGCTGTTGCACCTGCTGTTCGCGCGCGTCATGTAGACATTGCATCTGATCGTCGTACGTCTGCTTCAGATGTCCAGCATCTTGCTCCCGTCCTTGTTGCATTAATTCCTGTGTTGCACGTTAACACGGTGTAAATTAATTGCCATGCTCGAATTAAACGACCATGATCAAGGGTCCAATGTACATTGCCTTGAAAAACATGTAATGATTTACCAGGCACGACAGCTAGAGCAGGTATCAAGATTTACTCATTCATACCATGTTTAAGAAAAGGTGTGCATACTCGTAAAGAGAGAAGATTAAGTAATACGTTTCCTACAACATGCTACTGCTATTATATTGTATGCTAATATACTGTAGTAGCATGTCTCAACGAATTGTATTTACAGTTACGTACCAGTGCCTGCTCTTTCTCTACCAGCTTCTCACTCGATATTTTTATCTCCTGTTTGAGTTTCTCGTTGTTTTCCTCCATAGTGACCATCTGCTGGTTTAATGTCTGCACTTCCGACACCTAAAACAACATGACATTATCATCATCAATGCGACTGGATCCTTTCACAGTACCGCCACATATGTATAAAAAGAACATCTGCAAAACATCCGATGTTATTTCACTTCTGTAGGAATAACACAATACGGAGGGTCACTGTGCGACCAGCACGAGAGGGTAGGACACCGTGCCACTGTCACCACGCCAAGTGTGACACTGGTAGAGTAGGGGCTAGAGAGCAGGCTAGTAGGCGTAACACAACTGAATGAACAGGCGCTGTACGCTCACTGCCTCACCATCTCCTGCATGTGTTTGTTGACGTCCCCCAGCTCCTCCTGGAGGGCGACTACGCGCTTGTCACGTTCCGCGAGCATCGTTTCAAGGTCAACGACGGTGACCTTCAGACTCTTCTCAGCAGAATCGGACTCCTTCCATTGCAACTGGAATTTCTTGGCGAGCGTCTTCTACAGAGAACAGGATAGACAAGGTCACTAATAGAATACCTTAATGTTGGAATGTAATGCATGTGAAGGGGGAGGGCATCAGCAAATAAGTGTAGGGCGAGCCTTGATTCATAACATCGTATACATCAATGACTTCTAAGTGCTTCATTATTCGAATGAAGTTGCGTATTGGTCGACCACCTGAATAGCTATAACATTATCTGTGGGAAATAATATTCTTGGAAAGTAAATTGAATTTCCTAATGCAATAACTCATCAGCATGTAACTTACACTGTAGAGTAAAAAGGATGAACAACACCAATAAGTAAAATTTTTTTTTTTTCAACGTTCACATACCAATTTTTCAACCTTCTGCTCCCGCTTAGCGAGGTTCTGCTGTGACTCATCTAGCTGTTCCTGCAGCCGCACAGTCTCCCTCGCCTTCAGCTGCTGCAAATCCTTAAGCTGTTCCAACAGGTTCGCACTCTCATCTTCCTTCTCTCGTTTCAATACTGCTAGGTGTTCCTGCAACTGCCCAGCTTCCCTCTCCTTCTCCTGCTGCAATTCTGTAAGCTGAACCTGCAGCTGTGCAGCCTCTTGCTCCTTCTGCTGTAATACTGAAAGCTCTTCCCTCAACTGTACAGTCTCCCGCTCTAACTGCTCTCTCTGAAAGTCAAAAGAAATATATTTCTTACACTAAATACTACCACGGTGCACGTTAATAAATAGATGATTAACAAAATTCTATAATCATGCAGTAAAACAATGCAACATTGAATATAATAATTGATGGCTGACAGACTAATACCCATTGATATGTTAAGGGGTATTGTGTAGGTTAAGCAATAATAAATGGAAATATAACGCATGGTCACTTTGGCAAGTGTTGGACATGAAAAGTTGTATGTTATTTCAATTTATGCTGTTAACATAGCTAACAAGAACTGTGTGAAATTTATCAGAATAGTACATGACAGGAGATAGTGTGTTATTAAACATCATACCAGGTCTGATGACTGCCTGTCCTTTTCACTGAGTGTATTTTGAATTTCCTTCCCTCTCTGCTGCTCCTGTGCCAGAGCTTGCTCTAAAGTACTGACTTGTGACTGTAGGTGTCTCTGTTGCTCCTCACCACCATGTTGAGCCGATGACAATTGACTACCTACCTCCTCTAGTTTATTGTTAAGTGCTGCCACCTTGGGTTAAAAAGAAAAGAATATTATTCATATGATATGGGCCCAACAAAGGGCAATTGATTACAGACGTTTATAATTTATTTTGACTAGCCATAAAAATCTGTTCAGTGAGATATCCTGCCGCAAATGAGTATGACATTAACATGCAAGGCAGTTATTATAAAAGGCACAATAATAAAAAGGTGAATGGTGATATAAAGGCGAGATAATGTTTTTGATATTTTGTTGACATACAGCTCTATGCTGCCACAAAATAAATAAACCACAGGATGAATATTGCTTTGCAAAACAACAGCAGCGACAGTCAACGAATCGAAAGAGAAAATTCGGTGGTAGTTAGTAAAAAAAGGCTGCCGATTTTCCTTGTGGGTGTAAAGACATTGTGTATTATTTTATTATAAATACAGTGACAAGCCACCAAACAGCTGGTTTCGGGTTTTCACATGAAAATAATCAGCACCGACTGATAAATAAACAAGTGTTTTTATTTGCGTTCAGTGATATAAAACTAATGTCCATATTTTTATTATTTCATACTTTTTACGATTCCTACAGGTTCACAGTTAATGCAATCTATTTCCGTTGTCGTGCCAAATCCACTGCAGGGGTAAAGCCAGGAATATACATAATAGGAATTTCCCCAAACACCCTGCCCGAACCAGGTTATGAGCAGTTTACGGTCGTGGAGTACCAATGACCCTCGCAAATTACTGGTTTTGATAGGTGACAAATGATTTTCGGTATTACCTAAACATGAATGGTTTTTATAATCTACTTCTTTTACAACATAAATATTATTGCACATGGCCGTGTGCATGCATGTGTATTATATATATACACACACAAGCACCCAAACACACACGCACGCACGCACGCGTGTGCGTTTGTTGTATGGGAGCAGTATGCGTGCGTGCGTTTGGGTTTGTGTGTAAGCTTTCTAAATACACTCAAACGTCTGCCCACCCACCTGGTCCTGCACCCCCACGCGGATCTGACCTGGGATTGCACACAGCTTAGTGAAACCAAAGTTGACCAGCGAAGCTCAGGACCACTTAACGAGCTTCTTGCGCCGGAGGGCAAGCGAATGCGAGCCGCTGAGAGTAAAAGCGGGTAAGGGCCACATGCACGCACGAAAAAGAGGCATGCACTGTCCTTGAACTGATCTCTCCACGAAAGACAAACAAGACGATCATCAAGTACGATGCAAAATTTACCAGTCATGTGCACCACAGACATGAACATTCATACACGCAAGCATGCACGACGCCTCAGTTTGATTTACATTAACACCCGCGCAAGCATGCCACGAGCGCCTTCAGTTTATGGACATACACACGCGCAGCATAGAACACGACGCCCTCAGTTGATGGACATTACGACACACGCAAGCATGCCACCACGCCTCAGTTATGGACATCACACACGCAGCATGACGGACGCTCAGTTATAGCATACACCACGCGCAAGCATGCACGACGCGCTTCAAGTTATGGGCATACACACACGCGAGCATGCACGGACGCCTCAGTTATCGACATACACAGCACGCAAGCATGCACGACCGCCTCAGTTATAGACATACACACCGCAAGCATGCAGCGACGCCTCAGCTTATAGACATACACACGCGCAAGCATGCACGCGCCTCAGTTATGGACATACACAACGCAAGCATGCACGACGCCTCGTTATGACGATACACACGCGCAAGCATGCACGACGCCTCAGTTATGGACATACACACGCGCAAGCATGCACGACGCCTCAGTTATGGACATACACACACGCAAGCATGCACGACGCCTCAGTTATAGACATACACACACACGCAAGCATGCACGACGCCTCAGTTATGGACATACACACACGCAAGCATGCACGACGCCTCAGTTATCAGACATACACGCGCAGCAACGAGCTGCTATGGACAACAGCAAGATCCGACGCCTCAGTTATGGACATACACACACGCAGCATGCACGACGCACTCCAGTTTATGACATACACACATCGCAAGCATGCACGACGCCTCAGCTTATGGACGATACACACACGCAAGATGCACCAACGCCTCAGTTATGGACATTACACACACGCAGCATGCCCAGAGCCTCGTTATGGACTACACAGACCACCAGGCCATGACATACCAACCAAGCATGACGACGCCTCAGTATTGCGACTCATACACCACACGATAGCGATGCCACGAAGCTGCTCAGTTATGGACATACACCACACGCAGCATGTCAAGCGATGCACGACGTCCTCAGTGATGGGACATGCCACACCGCAAGGCATGCACGACACGCTCAGTTATGGATATACATCACACGCAAGCAATGCCAGACGCCTCAGTTATGCGCATACACCAACGGCAAGAGTGCACGCAGCCTTCAGTTTATGAATACACACACGCAAGCAGGCACGGACGCCTCAGTTCATAGGATTTCACACACGGCAAGCATGCCAGCGACGCCTCAGTTATGGACATATCCACACGCAAGCATGCACGACGCCTTCAGTTATGGATATAACACACGACAAAAGCACCAGACGCTCAGTTATGACATACACACGACGCCAAGCATGCCGCGTACGCGCTCAGTTATAGACATACACAACGCGCAAGCATGCACCAAGCCTTCAGTTATAGCACTACACAACCTTAAGCATGCACGACCCCTCAGTTATAGACATACACACGCGCAAGCATGGCAGCGACGCTCAGTTATAGATATCACACACGCAAGCATGCACGACGCCTCAGTTATGGACATACACACGCGCAAGCATGCACGACGCCTTGGTCAAGAAACATACACATGCAAGCATGAAACGCCGCTACAGTCAAAAACATACACACGCAAGCATGCACGACGCCTCAGTTATGGACATTACACACGCGCCAAGCATGCACGACGCCTCAGTTATAGACATACACACGCGCGCAAGCATGCACGACGCCCTCAGTTATGGGCAAACCACGCAAGCATGCCCACCAAGCCTCAGTTATGGGACATACACACACGCAAGCAATGCGACAAGCACTCAGTTCACTGGAACACTATACACATGCCAAGCATGAAGGATCAACAGTCCAGGAACATTACACACGCTCAGCTCAAGCCTGAAGGATGCCGCAGTTGCACATGAACATACACACGAAAGCATGAAGGATGCTTAGTCAGGAACATACCAAGCACGCATGAACGATGCTACAGTAAGGAACAGACACGAAACAAGCTCATGAGGACTGCTACAGTCAGGAACATACACACGCAAGCATGAAGGATGCTACAGTTCAGGAACATACACACGCAAATACATGAACGATGCTTACAGTAAGGAACATACACAAAAAAAAGCGATGCAGGATGCTTACGAGTCAGCGCAACATACACCAATCAATGCATTGAAGGATGCCCTACAGTCATGGAACATACACAATCAAGCATGTAAGGATGCTACAGTCAGGAACATACACAATTCAAGCGATTGAAGGATGCTTACAGTCAGGAACATACACAATACAAGCATGAAGGATGCTACAGTCCAGAACAATACCACAATCAGCATGTGAAGGATGCTACAGTCAGGAACATATCACAATCAAGCATGAAGGAGGCTACAGTCAGAACAATACACATCAAGCAATGAAGGATGCTACTAGTCAGGACACATACACACGCAAGCATGAAGGAATGCTACAGTCAGGAACATTACACATGCAAGCCATGTAATGTGATGCTTGACAGCTCGGGATACTATACACAATTCAAGCCATGAAGGATGCTCACAGTCAGGAACATACACATGCAGATGAAGGAGGCTACAGTCGGAACATACACAATCAACATGAAGGATGCTACCAGTCCAGCGACATTAACATGCAGCATGGAAGGCATGCTACAGTCAGGAACATACCACAATAAGCATGAAGGATGCTACAGTTTCAGGAACATACACATGCCCAGCCATGAAGAGGTCAGTCAGCGCAACAGATACACAATCAAGCATGAAGGATGCCTACAGTCATGGACATACACAATCAACGCATGAGGAGGCTACAGTCAGAACATACACATGCAAGCATGAAGGGATGCTACAATCATGGAACATACACGACGCAAGCATTGACGGATGCTACAGTCGGAACATCACACAATCGAGCATTGAGGATGCCTACAGTCAGGAAACATACAACATCTGCAAGCCATGCAAGGAGGCTACAGTCAGGAACATACACATATCAAGCATTGAGGATGCTGACAGTCAGGAACATACACAATCACAAGATCGATAGGAATGCTACAGTCAGGAACACCTACACATGCAAGCGATGCAGGGATGCTAACAGTTCAGGAACATACCACACGCAAGCGCTGAAGGACTGTACAGTCGGAAACACTTTACACACGCAACGCATGAAGCGATGCTACAGTCAGGAACCAGTACACATGCAAGCATGACAGATGCTACAGTCAGGAACATACACATGCAATCATGATTCTGAAGGATGCTACAGTCAGGAACATACACATGCAATCATGAAGGATGATATAGTCAGAAACATACACAAGCAAGCATGAACTATGCTACAGTCAGGAACATACACACGCAAGCATGAAGGATGCTACAGTCATGAACATACACACGCAAGCATGAAGGATGCTACAGTCAGGAACATACACACGCAAGCATGAAGGATGCTACAGTCAGGAACATACAATCACACCTCAGCATGGTCGACACAGCAGTCATGAACGCTTATACACTCAGTACATGAATACGAACACACGCACCACATGCAAACACATGCGCAGCAGTGCACAGCGAAGCCCATAACTTGCCCGCGTTCTTCTGTGAAGCCCATGCGTTATTCAGCCTAGTTAGGGAGTTAGGGCTGGAATTTATGGTCAAATGATAGCTTAAGATTGGTGGTTCGAGTTACGGTCAAGGATCATGTGTATAAAACCTACTGCGTCACCCAACTACGCACTGGAAATGCACGTGTCCATCAATCCGTTAGCATCCTGGACTGCTGTTTACAATATGCATGTTGATTAAGTAAGGCTGGCTTGCGCCGTGGCTGCAGGTGTCTCATGCCACCTCGGCCTAACCCAACCATCGCCACCCACTCCATGCAGCTGCAGCGGCGGCGGCAGCAGAAGAATCCACGCAAACACAAACACACAGAACTCGGCACTGACCTGCTTCTCGTAACCGGCCACCCGCTCGCTCGCCTGCGACTTGGCTTCGCTGTGCTGCTGCCGTGCCTCCGCCAGTTTGCGCTCCAGCTCCTCCCGCTGCAAAAAGACGTAAGCGAGCATGTGAAGTAAACCGAATAGTTAACGTAAGTTAAGTTAAGCTGAGCTAGCCTTAATCCGACTTCAACGCCGCGTCTGTAAAATCGATATACGCGATGCGAGAAACAAATTATCAATACAACTACACTGATAACTGATAACTGATAATCACAATAAAACTGATAGACGATACATGACAGACTATATATATATATACATAACGTGTGTAAATACCTATCACTTCATAATTATGCACTCGTCAAATAAGCAATCATATATATGTAGTTGCATATATGCTATCACACGTCGTGAATACATACATAATATGTATATATTATCTCTAGAATAATTAAGCACCAGCAAAATATCGCTCTATAGATAGACCCCTTATGTTACATGTATGGTTTTCTACTACCTGTTCCTCAACACATATTTTGAAGCTCCTTGCCACAATTCGGAAATGTGTAAAGAAACTTACACACGCGCCACTCGTGTACGCCGACATAAATTAACCTGCATTGCCCGCCAGTCACATAATCAGCCAAACAACATACGCGGGATTGTTTCAAACATTAAAGTTACCGGCTGGAAGTTAGGAGAGCCATGTCGGTCACGGCTGCAACCTACATACATCCAAGTCTATGTAGGCACGCTTTCGTTTACTTGCTGTAAATCAGCTAATGTCAGCACGACTGGTGGATGCGGTTCATTAATCTGTTTATTCTACGTCTACCACCAAGCGTGTTCCTAACGATGACCAGAAACTTTCTAACACGAGCCCGAGTATTCCCAGCACCAAGCCGCTCTTTTCTGACATAGGCATCTACATGCATAAAGGACTACATATACTACATATATACTATATCATATGTGTATTATAAGAGATCTATGTTTCCTGATACTGGCTCGGTCATTCGACCTGGATATTCCTAACACTGTCCTGTGTATTCCTAGCACTGACCTGAGTATACCCAACACTGACTTGGTCATTCCTAACACTGACAGGGGCATACCCAATACTGACCTGGTCATTCCTAACACTGACAGGGGCATACCCAATACTGACCTGGTCATTCCTAACAGGCTAACACTGACCTGGGTATACCCAATACTGTCCAGGGTATTCCTAGCACTGACCTGGGTATACCCAACGCTGACCTGGTTATTCCTAGCACTGACCTGAGTATTCCTAGCACTGACCTGGGTATACCCAATACTGACCTGAGTATTTCCAATACTGACCTGGTCATTCCTAACACTGACAGGGGCACACCCAATACTGACCTGGTCATTCCTAACACTGACCTGGGTATGTCCACCACTGGACCGGTCATTCCTAACACCGGCCACGCCGAACACGTTAGGTTTTGAGAGTCGTAGCTTCTAATCAGATAACACTCAATACTCAAGTGAGGAAAACACATCCAGCCCACGAGGAACAAACACACTTCATATTTTCGCATCGAAATTTAAAGAATGTTAAGAAATTAAAGAAAAAAAGAAAAAAAAAGAATAAAAGAAGTTAAAGAATGTAAGCACACTTGTCGTCGGACGTGTGAGCCGAGCTAGAGCAAACGGAGGATGACGGAAAAAAACGCATAGAAAATCTACAACGACAGTGCTCTTAGCATCTTTCACATCTACATTACAGTTCACCTTACTAACGACGTCACATGTTAGACTATTAATCAGAGGAACATGTATAAAGATTCATCACGAGTACATTCTTGCCATACCAGACGACTGACGAAATCGGTATGATACAAATTATCTATTACTTTCGGACGAGCAGCGAAGCCATGTAAGTAAGAAGAAGTGCAGTAAGAAAGCACATGTGCACACCGCCGATTGCGCTACCACAGTAATCTATGCCTGTCAGTGAATACTCCTTGTACGATTCCCGAGATATCAAACTATACACCGAACAACGTTTATACACCGTGAAGTCCCACTTTAACTAGACTTTGAGACTAGTTAAAGTAGAAATCCTTTAGTGTAATCACCTCTTTATATTGGTTAGGAATGCAGGATGTATTTACTGCAGACTTACGGGAACATTACAAGAAAACTTAATTGTGCACATATCGGGATACTTAATATAAAATATAGTATACACCTACATATTACATTATTAATATAATATTACATTATTATATAGTAAATAAAACCAACTTGCTATTTAAATAACGGTTTTCACGAATTCCTAAAATTTCTGATAAAAAATCTGATATTCACTTTTGTTATTAAATATTAAAGATTTCTATAATCAACATGTATGGCCATTGTCATGATACTGTACGACCGAAGATCTCCCCGACGAAGTTGTGCTTTTTAAATTTTATTTTGCATGTTTCAAATTGAAAGCTAATCACAAAAGTGCAATTATATTTATACCCAACTAATATTTAATTCAACTTTCTGTTTGCGATAAATACGTGCACAATCTACGTGCATAACCTACAGTGAAATACATGATATTGCAATCCTTCTACTTTTAAATGGGAAAAATAAGAAACACCATCGGTATGTAGCCTGCAAACGTTTCGTAGTGTTGCCACTTCATTATATCAGGAGTGAATAATAATAGATTTAATAAATCTAAAATAAAAATATATATTATTATTCACTCCTGAGTAAATCACGCGCACGTGGGGACGTCACTGGCGTTGTAAGTTGAAAGCATTAAAAAATACTTTATATCGTAGATACTAAATCACTCATTTTTCAATGTAGCACGAGTTAAAACGAATTTAACTGAAGATGTGTAATAAGCCTAGACCATTGCTCCCCGTTTAAAATTATTCAAGGGTAACCACAGACGATTGTGTGACGAGCGCGTTTACGAATCAGCAAGGAAAACAGAAAAACCGGGAAAGATAAATAATCGCGATCAAGAAGATGGGACGCCAATCCCAGTCGTGCTCCGACAATCAAATCAGCTCACACAAACATTCCCCGACCCCAGAGATCTGGAACTCTCCCCATGCCCTCACGAGTCTCCCCCCCCCCCACACACACATGCACCTCTCCATCCAGCCGGCCAGCAGCTGCCGATATATGATGCCGCCGTCGTAAGTCTATCCGATGCTAAAAATAGCTCTGCCTCCAGCCATCCCATAGCTCATTGTTATGCCCCCGAGAAGCGAGACATGTGCCTACTCACGCAGCCCAGTCCACGCGACTAGTCGACCCCGTCACACGCACGTCGAATGGGACGCCTCTACGCTCGGCCTAACTCCACAACGACCCGCCGCGACAGCGTACGAACGTACAAACACCGTAAGTACTCGCGCACCCAGTGTCAGTCCGCTCATAAGCATAGAACTACATTACAGCGTGATCTGTGCGATCTAGCCAGATAGCGAGTGGAATCAATGAATCTATCGCGTATAACTGACCGGCGAATTTTTCGGCCGTGTACCGGGCCGTGTAATAAGCGCCGCAGTAGGGCCCGTAGGGTCTATGTCTCCCTGGGTGCTGCCGGAACGTACCCTGGGTACGATCCGGTATACCGGAACGTACCCTGGTATAATATGCCGGACCGTACCTCGCCTACTCCACTAACGAGTCTAGGGCGTCGCCTACGCCTACTCCCTAACCCTAACCATATCAGATAGTTACCAGGGTACGTTCCGGCAGTACCCAGGGAGACATAGACGTTATCTGCCGCAGTAGGAGCAGCGGTCGCGCAGAGTTGATGTATGGGCATGCGTACACGCCATCGCACCCCCGCTAAGCAGCGGGGATCAGCAGTCACGAGAACACAGCAGGGGGAGAAAGGTTGGCTTCACGTCAAGGCTAGACTGTCAGTCATCCGGCAGTGTTTGTGTTTGCCCTCCTATGTCAGCATACGCCGTGCGTACGTGACGCGCGGCGGGAAAACGATGAATATCAATGTTACGAGAGTTCAATCGGTCGAACTTTGTACGCTTTTACACGTATTCTTGCGATGGCGCGCCACTCACTGGCACTGGTTCTCTTGTTCGTACATATAAGATATCCCAATGAGATAAGGGTGGTTTCTAATCTACAAGCAGGCCCATTCTTAAGGCAATCCGATATATAGCAAAACATTTGTATCACGGACTTTATGCTAGTACGTACGCACACCACACACACACAGTCACACACACACGGATTTCCGTTATACTTTCTTTTGTTTAGCCAGTGGTATGAATACGTATACATGTGATCAGGAGCGCATAATGACAAATACTTATATACTACTATATTTGTCATTATACGCTCCTGATTGTCATTATACGCTCCTGATGTGATTTGTAGTGGGAGTGAGAGTGAGTGAGCGAGTAAGCGTGAGAGAGCAACACAGAGAAAGAGAGACCAAAAAGTCAAGACGACCGTGTTATATACGCGCGCACGGGTATACAACATATCATATATATATCATATATTATATATATATAAATATTATATATTATATATTATATATTATAGCACATATCATTTACATAACTCGGGCAACAATACGATAATTTCTGCAATATATCTTCTTGCTTGCCCCTCCCGGGCTGCCAAATAAATTTCGGGACACCCTAACCTCGGCAAACCAATAGAACATGAAATGCCACACAAACGAGCTGGCTGACAGCAGGTTCAATTCGATATTTGCTCCCACTCCGACAAGAAACGAACTATTTCGAAGACGGCAAACAAAACATCGGCCCAGCCGTTAAACTCTCTGACTCCCGCTAGGCCATTACGTTTGTTTCAGTTGCGTACGTCCGACCCCCCCCCCCCCCAACCCAGACACACACACACAAATACACACAGCACGGCATATTTGATATATATAGAGAGATTAGTAGAAAGTAGATAGATCGGAGCAGATGGAATGGATGGATGGATGTGATGGATGGGATGGATTGGATGAATGGAATGGATGATGGATGGATGGATGGATGGCATGGATGGATGATGGATCTGGATGGATGGATGGATGGATGGAATGTGATGAATGGATGGAATGTGATGGATGGATG